AGAGAGCCGGGGGAGGGGCAGAAAGCCTTGGCTATAAAGCCCGTGGCTAAGTGGGGAAAGCACGAAACCTGGCCTGCCGGGTCCTTTTCCCGACATCCCCAGCCAGATTTAGCTGCTGACAGCTGCTTGGGACTTTGCCGCCAGGGCCTGGCCCAGATCTGCCTGCCTGTCCTCTCTCTCAGTGACTCCTGAGCCACAGCCCCTCCATGGCCCAGAAGGAAGAGGCTGCTGCAGCCGCTGAGGCTACCTCCCAGAATGGGGAGGATCTGGAGAACCTGGACGACCCTGAGAAGCTGAAGGAGCTGATTGAGCTGCCACCCTTCGAGATCGTCACAGGGTAAGCCTCAGATGGGGCCTGGGTTCCGCTCCTTAGAAGAGTGCAGGCTTGGGGTAGGCTGTGGAAATTCAGGATGGTTGTATTAGGCGTCAGGGCCAACTGCAGCCCTGCAGCAGTGAGAGTGCACCAGTGGGCACGGCAGGGGTTGTAGGAGACCCAGCAGCAAATTCTCATGGCTTCTCAGGGTGACACGTTGGGCTCTCTCATCAGGGAGAGGTAGGAGGAGCTCCCTGGAGGCAAGGCCCCAGAATAAAACTGCCCTTCAGGCCTCTTGGTATGGGGGCAGCCACCTGCCTCTCTGGGCAGAGACTTAGACCCAGGGAGTCTGGTGAGGACAGAGAATGAGGCTGGCACATCTAAGTATGGCTCTAGTCAAAGCACCCCTTCCCTTCAACTTCTCTCTCTGTTCCTGAGTTGGTATCTCCACTATCCATAGGCCTCTAGCCCTTTCTTTAGAGATTTTCCCTGGAGTAGAAGCTCCCAAGACAGGAAAGATAGATCCATCCTTTCCCAAGACTGAGAGAGAAGCAGCTTTTTTCTTATTAAATCTTTTCTGAGTCTCCTCAGGCGCTGTCCCACAGAGAAACAGAAATTACAGTGCAGGTAATGCAGACCAGGAGCTTATAGACACAGGAGCTGTTCCAACATGCTCAGGCATTGCCTGGAGGAACTGGGACCCAAAGAAACGGGTCTACAGACTGCAAGGAGAGGGCTGTGTGCAGGGTACCTCTGTCTTATCCAGATTACACCATCTCCAGGAATAAAACTAAGTAGTCTTCTTTCTCTTCCCTTTCTATTCCTGCAGTGGAAGAACCTGCTAGATCCTAAGCAAAGAATAAAAAGAGAATATATGAGGCCACATTTCCTCCCTGAACCAAACGTTTCCTTCATGGGGTCTCCAGGAATGCCCACAGGCAGAGCAGGTGGGAGACTAAAAGAAGTTTCAGGAAGAACAGAGGCATGATGCTTTCAAGGGGGAAAGGAAGCCCTGAGTGGCAATTTGGACTTGATATTTTAAGTTTGGCATGTGATTTTCTAGTCAGCCACAGTTTTAGCATTTATAACATGAAGAAGCTATACTAGTGAAGTCCCTTTCAGCTCAGATATTTTCTGATTTCTAAGAGAACCTAAGGGAAAATGCATCCTATTTCCTGAGGCAAGAGTAGCCCCTGAACTTCCATTTGCCCATGCCCACCCAACTAACCCCACCCTCATCCTAGGATTAAGGGAGCAGCTGGGCACAGATTAATATAGACACAGGGAAAGCCTAGGGCAACCTGGCCAGGAGAGTCCTCAATTCTAGTGGCTTCTCCAAGGAAGGAGAGCCTTTTTCTAACACCTAAGCATGCTGGTACACGCTATCCCTAGTCATACACACGTGCGTGTACACAGACGCCACTCTGTGTGGCATTCCAACACAGTGGCAGGGTAGGTCAATAACAGACTATGTTTGTTGAGCTAAACATGCCTTGGGGGTCCCAGAGCAATGGATCCTGAAGGGTTAAGTCCACTGATATAACTTACATTGGTCCAGGGCTTTATAATCACAACACAGTTTCATGAACATGAGCCCAGTCAACACTCAGCACAAAGGGAGGAGAGGGAGATAGTATCCTTTCTACTGGTCTCTTATTCATTCTGGGTCCCAGGTTTCCCAGAGCTCCACATTATTTCCATCTGGGAGGTAGTGAGGGTCAGAGGCTTCCTAGGACCCAAGGGTCAGAAAAAAGGAGGCACAGAAGGGGCAGCGTTCTGAGCATTCTGAGAGCAGTTCAGGTGGGAGGTAGAGCCCTGAGTGTTTCCTGGCCACAAGTAACAGCTGCGGAGAGCTATCTCCTGAGCCACTCTGGGTAAACAGATGGCTTAAAATAGCCCAGAGGTGCAACTGGGCCTGTGCAGGGACAAGGTGAGGGAATAGCTTTCCTCTCCTTCCCTCTCCAGATGCATTCCCCCAGGACTCGCTCCTGGAGTCAAGGGGATCAGCAAAGCAGCTCCCTTTCTAGCCTGGTTTCTAGAGGGAAGATCTTTAGTGCTCCTTATATTTGGGCCAAAAATTAGCAGAAGAGCAGGTGGCTTTTCAGGAAACAGTCCAACATGAGGAGGGGGTAGCTGGTAGAAAGGAGAGATGCCCAGCTAATAGTGATTCTGGTTGAATAGAGCATTCAGGATAGAAAGTGGAACTGAGCCCATTAACAAAATAACATGGTAGAATGTTCTGGAAAAGGGCCTAAGACTGCTGTAGCGTGTTGAAGCCAGCCCCTGTTGGTTCACGAGTCTATTCCCAACTCTGCATGTCACCTCAGGAGCTTGAAATCTCTGTAATGGGAGTACTTACCTTATGGAAATCAGCAAACTTTAGAAATCAGGGATTTTTCCTTCTGTCAGAGAGCTAAGTGTTGCACTTACCAGCACACCACTGAAAAACAGAAACCTCTCAAAGTGAGAGGAAGAGCGATGAGAAAGGGATCAGGCTTGTTAATGCTTAAGATGGAGCTCTGAAGGATACAATGTGAGGCCTGGAAAAGGCATCACACGTATCATAACATCAATTTACTTTTTGTGGGGGAGGGAGAGATGGGGTCTTGCTCTGTTGCCCAGGATGGAGTGCAGTGGTGCAATCACAGCTCACTGCAGTCTCAACCTCCCAGGTTCAGGTGATCCTCCTGCCTCAGCCTCCTGAATAGCTAAGACTACAGGTGCATGCCACCACACCCAGCTAAGTTTTGTATTTTTTATAGAGATGGGGTCTCACTGTGTTACCCAGGCTGGTCTCAAACTCCTGGCTTCAAGCAATCCTCCTGCCTCAGCCTCCCAAAGTGCTGGGACTACAGGCATGAGCCACTGTGCCCAGCCTATACTAGCTTTGAGTGTCTATTGTTGTCCAAAACCTGAGAAGTTGGACTACTCACTCTTTCAAGTGAGGAAACTAAACCTCAGATAGATTAAGTCATATGGCCAAAGCTTGTAGATGGAGTAGGATGTGAACCCCAGGACTGTCTGACTCCAAATCATCACACTGTATCCAAAAACCAGAGAGGATTCTTTTTATGTTTACCGAATAGGAGTTGTTATTTACGCCTGTTTCCCCCATTAGTATTTAACCTCCATAAGGACAGCACTTTGTCTTTTTCACTGCTTTATCCTTAGCACCTAGCTCCTGATGGGTACTCCATAAATATCTGTTGAATAAATGAAAGACCTAATGAATAAGAACCTCTTGTGTGGTTCTTAGGCTCTCTGTCAGACATTAGGATAGGGAGTGAACTGGGGGTTTCTTGAGGACAGCGGCTCAGGATGTATGAAGATCCAGTGGCACAAGGCTTAGGTAGGAATTCCCCTGGCTCATGCCTGCTTTTGGATACAACATGTTTTAGGGGAGCTGTGGGGCACCAGGGCTGGTTGTCTCCCCAGCTCTCCAACCCAGTGAGAAGTGACTATGGGCTCTGCCTGGCAGCGCCCTTGATGTGTGTTTGGCTTTGTCTCTAGTTATGTTGTGTATGTTTTTGCAGAAAGCAGAACCTCCTATCCAAGGGATTATTATGGAACAAAGATAAATGGCATTCTTCTTCCGATCGCTTGTTTAGCAACAGTAGTTTACTCTGGCCATGTAAGGAACACAGAGAGGCAGTGTCCAGAGGAGAAGGGTGAGATAAGTAGTGAGGGGACTTCGACACCAGTTAATGCCAGCCACAGCCCTTTACCCTCACCCTGGCCTCTGCAGCATGCTGGGCGCTGTGCCATGAAGAAGAGAAGACAGCCCACTGACTGGCCAGTCTGACTTCCACAGAGGATTGCGGGCAGGTCAAAGCTCAGGTGTCAAGACCATGCCTCCCAGGGAAAACAGGCAAGTTCAGGGCCTGCCTGGGGCAGAATCCTATCCAGTCCCACAATCTGGAGCTTCCTTCTCAGATCTAGGGAGGCAGGCTGCTAGAACCCTCTACTCCTGCTCTTACTCCTCTTTCTGATTATGCCCACTCCTTGATAACCACTTTGAAAAGTGGTCTGAGAAAGCAGAAGGCCAAGGAAACCAGCAATCCTCCCTCTTTCACACCGGTCACCCAGAGGTCTAGTGAGGGAAAGCTGAAACGAGTCAACACATAATTACCTGTGAGTAGATTTTTCCACTCACGGATTATTTTGGAGCAAATGTTTAATCTCAGCCCAGCTTCAACTGCCCTCTGGGTTGCTTCCTTTCACAGTATAGATTTATGCTTAGAAAATTCAAACATTCTGAACATGAAACTGAGAAAAATATGATTACATTTACTCACATCCCTTCTCCCCTCATCCAGCAGACTATCTTCCCAGTTTTATTCTAGATATTTGGACCCTCTGTTTCCTCCCAAGTGAACTGAAATGCCCAGTAGCCTGGGTCTAAGCAGATGAAGTGTAGCTGGCCTTGTTGGCAGAAAGTATGAGGAAATGGTGCTTACCAAGGTGCTGAGGCTGGGGACAGGGAAGAGAAATCAGGCTGTAGGTTTCTATGCATGAAAAAGTGACTGGATCAGGGAAAGAAATCTACTACCAGCATCAGAGTCACCCCTGACCACCATTCACACACACACACACACACACCCCTTAACCAGTAAAATATTTTCTAGGTTAAATGTAAAGGGCTATAGTAAAAGATGGTACTTAGGCATATCACACTACTTTAAAAAAAAAAAAAGAAATGCTGGTGCCTATATTTAACAGGTTCGGTGTCATTATTTCCTTCCTTCCACTAGTGGGCATAATAATGTTATTTTGTGAGTCTACAGAATTGCCTGAGATGGCCACATTGTCTAGCTCCCTGGAGAAATTCCAGACCTCTACTACCTCTGTTCTGGTTTTCCCCCAGGACTTAGCTGTTTCAGTCTGTGAGAGGCCTAAAGAATCACATTTGACCTTTTTGCTCCTTGCAGAATACCAAGAAACCCATTCAGAAATCAAGCAAGTTTAGTCTCTAAGCAAGCCCAAAGGAACGACTAGGAACCAAACCTTCCCTGCCTTTCCTTTGCTCCTTGAAAGCACTTCTTTTCCTAAGGCACCTAGTCCAAAGGCCCTGCGGAGGGACACAGTAGATTCTAGGGCTGCTGGCCAAAGGGGTCGGAAATGGGTATTTATAGAGAGATGACCTTTCTTCCTCTCCCTTGGGTTTCAGGTTTCTCTGGGTCTTCTCCTCTTGACTAGGGAAGAGGAGGGGAAAATGTCAGAGCTTAAGAAGGGCAGAGAGAAACAGCCACCACACAACCATCCAGGCAAATATGCAATTGCATGCTGGGCCAAATTCACACTGGCCTAAATTCATACTTTCAAATGAGTTATACTGAGCAAAGGTGGAGCAATGCTTTTGGGAGCTCCAGAAAGAAAGAAGGGACCACATGGCAGCTACTCCTTAAGCCTCCAAGCGATTTGAGTAGCCATGAATACTTCCAGGGGTTCCACCTGATCATCCATCATGGCGGCCCTGGATTAGACTTGGGGAAGGGTGCAAAAGGCCTCGAAGAACATGTTTGGGCAGGAAAGGTAAGCTCTATGCTTCTCAAAAGCAAAAGTGAAGGGACCATTTAGCAACTGGTAAGGTTGAGGAGTGGTCTGGTGGGGTGGGTGTCATTAGGGCGTACTCACTGTAAGTGAATGCCAAACAGGGATTGAGAAGAGGAACAGGGAACATTAGGTAATCCATCCTCCTAAAATGTTAAGTAAACAATAAACACCTCCAACTAGGGACAGAGGGGCTTAGAGAGCTAAGTATAGTACCTGAAGGAATCCTGGGGCTGGGTCCTCAAACACATCCATCTCCACAGTGGAAAATGAACCTGACAGCAAGAGACATGGAAACTTGGGTGGATACATTTTGAAGATGGGCGGGGGAGAGGGAATCCTGCAGGGAAATAAGTCAAGTTTACTCATATCTTTGGCATCTGCTGCTCATCCCTAAGCAGCCAAGGCCCTGGGATACCAGGGATTCCCCTGCAGCCCAGGGAGTCTGGTGACTTCTTTGGGGAAAGAGAAGCGGCGGAGACAGGCAATAGTAGAATTAATAGTGCCACAGGTATCCCTTGGGACATCCAGAGAGATTACATTTTTAAAAAGAAAAATATTTAGTCTTTCTAGCTGGTACTCATCTCCTCCTCTCCTTCTGACCTTCTTCATCTCTCCTATTAAAATTTCATCTTCCTTGGCCTTCAAACTTGCACAAATCTTGCCTATTTCAGAAAAACACACACATACAAAAAAAAGCAAAAACTATCTTCAACTCTGATGTTCTCTCTGGGCCCTCTCTTTTTTCTTCTCCTTATTATCAAAATTTTCAGAATTCCTGGTCTTTTCCTGCTGTTTTCATTTCCTAACCATCCATCTCCTCCTCAAAGGCACCCACACAGTTCATCGCCAAGTCTAGAGTCCTAAGACACCTACTAGGCTTGTTCAATTTCAGGCTTTTCCTCAGCTTCACACCATCTGCCTACTGCTACCACAGTAATCTTTCATGGACACCACTTTTATTGTTTTTCTTCTCAAGAACTTGTGACAATTCTCTACTGCCTCCGGAATCAAGGCTAAACTTTCAAGAATCTTGTACTGTACCTATCCAATTTTAGTAGTCTTATAATGTTCTCAGCTGTTTTATTTACATCTTCTTTTTCTGCAATCTATCTGCTAAATTATAAGCATCTGGAGGGCAGAGACCAAGTCTTTTAAGATTTTGAAGTGACTCGGTACTGAATACAGGCTTAATTATCCCAAGATACCCTTGAGTAGTCTGGCCTCACAGATAATAATTCTTAGACACTTACCATGTGACAATCTCTTCACCTGAAAGTAAATATAGACTTGAGAAATAGTCACTAGCAGAGCATGGTATTGCAAGTTTTAGGCCATTTCATGCCAAGATGCCATTTACATGAGTTATAAGGAAGAGAAAAGAAAGCATGAAATGCTCTGCAAAATCTTTGTCTTGCTCTGTCATGAGAAATTTTTTATGCTTGCTACTTACCTGGCCACTTATTGGAATCATCCAGAGAGCTTTTTAAAAATACTGATGCTTGTTCATATCCTTCGCCCACTTTTGAATCGGGTTGAACAATGAGAACATGTGGACTCAGGGAGAGGAGCATCACGCACTGGGGACAGTTGAGGGGCATAGGGGAGGGACAGCGGGGGGTGGGGAGGGATAACACGGGGAGAAATGCTGGATATAGTATGCACCTAAAGTTAAAAAAAAAATGCTGATGCTTGGACTACCTCTCCACGTTCTGATTTCAGGGGTTTGGCATGAGGCCCAAGCACCGAAATTCTTAGAGTCTTCTGTGTGATTCTAAGGCAGGTTAAAGATTCCACTGATTTAGAAATGTAGAGTTGTGTTCTACTGGAAGAGTGATGGTGGAGACAATGTTTGGAGACCCTTCCTAATAGTGTGATCAGCATGCACACCTTAATCCAAATTCTCCACTCCTTCAGATAAACCCTTTCGGATTTTTTCATGCTTTTTTTTTTTTTTTTTTTTTTTTTTGCCACTGATGTTACCACAGGCAAAGCCTGTTTACAGTAAGAATGAATGGATCTCTGAAATACTGTTCTGGAAGGGCTACCTAGTCTAGGCTGGTTCTAGAAACAGGAACTTATCATTCTTTCCTTTCCTTTTGTCTCCTTGTACCTACAGAGAACGGCTGCCTGCCAACTTCTTTAAGTTCCAGTTCCGGAATGTAGAGTACAGTTCCGGGAGGAACAAGACCTTCCTCTGCTATGTGGTTGAGGCACAGGGCAAGGGGGGCCAAGTGCAGGCAACTCGGGGATACCTAGAGGATGAGCATGCGGCTGCCCATGCAGAGGAAGCCTTCTTCAACACTATCCTGCCAGCCTTCGACCCAGCCCTGCGGTACAATGTCACCTGGTATGTGTCCTCCAGCCCCTGTGCAGCCTGCGCTGACCGCATTATCAAAACCCTTAGCAAGACCAAAAACCTGCGTCTGCTCATTCTGGTGGGGCGACTCTTCATGTGGGAGGAGCCGGAGATCCAGGCTGCTTTGAAGAAGCTGAAGGAAGCCGGCTGTAAACTGCGCATCATGAAGCCCCAGGACTTCGAGTACATCTGGCAGAATTTTGTGGAGCAAGAAGAGGGTGAATCCAAGGCCTTTCAGCCCTGGGAGGACATTCAGGAGAACTTCCTCTACTACGAGGAGAAGTTGGCAGACATTCTGAAGTAGGGCAACTGGGCTCGGCTTCACGTGAGTTTTCCCAGTGCCATGGCACCATCACTTTATGTTAAGAAGGTGTGAGGTCAGGTAGAATGAGTGATACATCTGATTTTCCTTTGGAGAGGTTTCATTTCTCTGCTTCTGACTGGTTACAAAAAATTTAGAATATCATGTTTCTTTCATCCGAATCCCTCTCCCTAAACTTTTCCCTCTCTCACTTTCGTATCAAAGTAACTTTCCCATAACTTAAAATACTCAAGATTGACAGGGATCCTAAAACTTTCATGAGACAAGATGACCTTCTGTAGTAAGATTTAGATGGCACAAGGACTTGCTACTGAACCACGGCAGAGAAGATAACGTACTAACTCTAGACGCCTTTTAGATGCCCTGCTCCCATATCCATTGGCAATCTTACCATTCCATTTTTCTCTAATAAATATTTTTCAGTTCTTCAGGGCCAATTTCTTCACTTTTGGTAATTTTGAAATTCCGCAAATGGACTGATATTTAACTTTTTTTTTTGAGACAGAGTCTCGCTCTGTCTCCAGGCTGGAGTGCTATGGCGTGATGCCGGCTCACTGCAACCTCTGACTCCCTGGTTCAAGCGATTCTCCTGCATAAGCCTCCCAAGTAGCTGAGATTACAGGCAGGTGCCACCATGCCCAGCTAATTTTTGTATTTTTAGTAGAGATGGGGTTTCACCATGTTGGCCAGGATGGTCTTGATCTCCTGACCTCATGATCTGCCTGCCTCAGCCTCCCGAAGTGCTGGCATTACAGGTGTGAGTCACCGCGCCAGGCGGTATTTAACTTTTTTTTAGCCAGGCATGCTTTCGTGTTTTCAAACAGATGGCTACACTTTGAAGGAGACCAATAATTGCTATGTGAATGTATAATACAAGAGCATTTTCCTTATGAGAAGACCGCAGCAGAATTCATGAGGGATGCCAAATGCAGGAATGGGTATGATATAGCAAAAAGCTAGTCCATGCAGGAATATTTAAAGGGTTAAAAAGACGTTTGTAAATCAGGCAGCAGCTCAGAAGTAACCTCTTACAGATAGCAAGAGGTGATAGGAGAACTGGAAGTAAAGATTAGCTATTTAAGCAAATAATTAGGACACAATTAAGGCCAATTTGGCCTCTTGCTGAGGGTAAATTAAACTCTTAGAGAAACAGGCCAATTACCCTCAGGAAAGAGGGCTAAAGGATCCTTTACTATCTTTTTTTGCATTTAGTCTGATCGGAGTTTGCACCTACCAAAATGCTATGACTTTGCAAGGCCCCAGTTACTGATCAAAATCTTCCAGTAATAGAGAAGGGGTCTTCACGACACTCTTATTCAGCTTTAATTCTGTAACAACTCACATATTACTAATACATGAAAACAACATGCTTCCATGAGGATACTTTTGGTCTTTCTCACTCTAACACCCTTAACAGAAGATGTCGTTTCATAGACACGTTTAGGAAATATCAATATTCCAGGGCTTGATGTTGGCAGGTGTTTTCTATTAGACAGGCACACCGGGACCTGATCATTCTCAAGCTGAGCATTTGGCAACCCATTAAGACACAACTTTCAGATTAAAAAAAAAAAAAAAAAAAAAAAGACACGACTTTCACCCTTTCTCAGAAAAAGCAGGACCCAGCCACTGAATTCGGTGAGCCTATGGCAGGGTATACTATTGGTACTCCGCTCACATAAAATAAGACACTGACACTCGGTAGTGGTAAACAGTAGTGAAAGCAGATTTCTGAGGGTTCCTTCTGAAAATATAAAATTTAACTTTTAGAATTCCTTGAAGATTTTGTTAGTGTATGTACTATCATTATAATTATAAACCCAACACAAACTCTGCAGACTAACTGGCAGCTTCATTTTAACTGCAGTATACTTTCCTTTTAAACATCGTTCAGAGTCAAGGGCCTAGCTGCCTAACTAGCAAGTCCTTGGGACTTTTTTTTCCCCAGTGATTTTTTTTTCATTAAAATTAAGCATTTCAAAGAAGATTTAAAAGATTTTTAATTTTGAATTGAGGGTTATATCTTATACTAATCTAAACAGAAGTAAAAGAAATAAATCACTGTTTGAGGAAAAATAAAATATCAAAGTCAGATTATTTTTAAATATTAGTAGACATCTTCAATTTTAATCCTTCTTCCATCAAATGTAACTGCATTTTCTGGACCCATTAACATGCTTCCCCGTCTATTTGAATTGCTCATGTTTCCGAAGGGAAAGGTTAAAGATATAACAATTTAAAAAAACAAAAACAAAACTGGTATGAGATGGTGTTGTAATCTAAAAGCCCAAAAGAACCACCCTTCTTATCTCGAGAAATGAGCATTTATTAAATGTCTTATTTTACATATTTCTTACTTCATCTTTTATTTATTTTTTTTAAAAAGCAACAGAATAGTATTTAATCCTATATCTAGTCAAAAGAACAGAGTTAAAGCAGGGGCCTTTTTCTGTGTAAACCACATCAAAACATGAATGAGAGATTGGGTTCTTGTCAATTTACTCAATCCCGGGTAAATCAGAAACCAAAGGAAACTATGAGAAATTCAGGGACTTGTTGGGAAGGACACACAGAAACCTTAGTTCAAAAAGAAACTAGTCATTGTTGGGGGCTAGCGGGGCTCTCAGTAACACATTTTCTTTTTTTGTTTAACCAAGGTCTTCCTGCTGCCATCCAGAGACAGCAGTGACATGTATAGCCATCTGGGACATGCCTGCCTAATACCATTTGGAGCTGGACAACATTCGACACCAACCAATCATCCTGGACGAGGCCCTTAGAGGACTTGAAATATACTTCTCATGCTGTAGTTCATTTAAGCTGTGCCTCTCTCTCTAATGCTGCTCTTGGGAAGGAGGAAAGTGACCTGCAAGGAGAGAAACGCAACCATACATGGGCACCAGTCAACTATGAGACTGAAGGTCCTAACTGCTCACCCAAGGGGGCTGCTTAACGCAAACAGCCTCAGACCCAAGGTTTAGATTTCTGAAATGTGCATTTTATGTTGAGTATTTTTTTTAAAAAAGAAAAACAACATTAATAAAAGTGGTGTGTTTTTCCCGTGGCCAGATTAAGAAATTGGAATATTTGGAAGTTACCACAGACAATTGAGCCGGTCCCAGACACAGGGACGCCCCAGGCTATGAACCAAGCCATGACATTACGAAGTGCGAGGGAAGGTTAAACCAGGACTTGGCTAGACAATACAGAATAACTCTCCCATACATCCTTCTTGCCACAGTCAAATAAGGGCCCTTTTCTTTCTCTGAATCAAGTAATACAGTAGAAGGTGGAACAAAAAAGCATGAGAAATCCAAGGTAGCCACATCCCAAATACCAATTAATAAGCAATTAGATTCTTGATTAGCAAGGAGCGGGCGAAAAGTAGGAGTTTAATGTTCAGATACACAATCATTTAAAAGTATTCAACATATGGTGTTTGATGGTAATGGCAGGATGACGTCAAGTCTCATTTTTTAAAGGATTGTTTGAGTCCTATGTGGAAGCAAAAAATCACAGGTAAATTTCTGGGTGTTTGCCAAACTCTAACTAGGTTTCCAGGAATAATGTGTTCACTCTGATTACCAGGACATGCCTTCCTTCCCCAGGCTTCAAGTGTGATAAGTCATCGGAATTTGACCCAAGACTACTATCTGCAAATAACAAAGTGCTTTATCACATTCCTGCCAAGTCCCAGAATTCTACTTACAGCCAATCCTGGATGAGACTAGGTTTTGTTTGAAGAATGAAGGCTCATACTCCATGAAAAAAAAAAAACAAAAAAAACCCATAATCTCTTTAAAAGTAAAGGAAGTCTAGAAAATCCATGTTTTGACTTGTGTTAAGATTTACAGATGGTACCCAATTTACAATGGTTTGTCTTGCAAGTTTTTGACTTTGCAATGGTGTAACAGCCATACACATTCAGTACACCCTTCAACTGAACTCAGGATGGGGTTACCCACGCACAGCCCTAACATAAGTTGAGGAGCATCT